ATCAGCTGTGTCCAATGACACAGCAGATATCTGAGTAAATACAGTTGACGGTTATCGACTGCACTTTCCTCACTCTGTCATAGCATGAGGAAAGTACTGCCGATAGCCGGCAAATGTCATAGAGGACATCTGCATTGATCATCAGGGCACTGATGATCGGTGCCCAGCAGTGCCACCCATGAGTGCTGCCCAGCAGTGCCACCCATGAGTGCTGCCCAGCAGTTGCGCCCATCAGTGCCCAGCAGTGCTGCCCATCAGTACCCATCAGTGCCACTCAGCCGTGCCACCAGTCAGTGATGTCAGTCAGTGCTGCCAGTCAGTGCTGTCAGTGCCACCAGTCAGCACTGCCCATCAGTGGTCCCATCATTGCTGCATGTCAGTGCAGCATCATCAGTGTCTCCTCATCAATTCCCGCCAGTGCTGCCTCATCAGTGCCACCTCATCAGTGCACCTTATCCGTGCCCATCAGTGCTGCCTATCCTTACCACCTCACAAGTGCCCATCAGTCCTGCCTATCAGTGCCCATCAGTGCAGCCTCATCAAAGCACATCAGTGAAGGAGAAAAATTACCTGTTTGCAACATTTTATAATAGAAACAAAGAAAAACTTTTTTTTTTTATATTTTGCTCTTTTTTTGTTTGTAAAAAATAAAACACCCAGCGGCGATTAAATACCACCAAAAGAAAGTTCTATTTGTGTGAAAAAATGATAAAAATGTTATATGATTACAATGTTGCATGACCACGCAATTGTCATTCAAAGTGTAAGAGCGCTGAAAGCTGAAAATTGGCCTGGGCACAAAGGGGGTGAAAGTGCCCGGTAGGTAAGCGGTTAAATGCAATTTTAAAAAATCTATGCTTTTTATGGGCATCTAATGTTTTGCATGCAGTTTCCAGACATTTCTAGATGGATGGCAACCCCTCCCCCATATATGTGTACATTCAATAAATCATATGCAACTTCTCTTCCAGTAATGAAAATTCCAGCCATTTCCAGCTCTGCGCCCAGAAGGAGTAGATCCAGGCGCAGAGAATTCTGGGTAGAGTCTTTGGATCAATGAACGATTTCTGCCTTGGGGAAATGATTCAAAAACAGACAACATAATTTGTGGTTGTTGCTAGGCACAGTAGCAGATCAAAGAACAAAACATAATACTAAGCAGATTAATGAATAACCACAACATAACATTAAGCTGGAGCTAAACTTGTTTTGATTGATTTTATTTTTTTTAGTTTGAACTCCTCTTTTAATTCTGCTCAATTGAGGGGAAATAAAGCCACAATTAAACTATGGAGGAGATGGCAGTTAACAAGCCTGGGTAATACTACTAAGTGAACCTGTTGCCATCACAGGGTAAAGCTACAGGGGTAATATTTGTATATAATAGTGGCTCCACCGACAGTCTATGCTTACATTCTCTTTGCTCCACTGCCGCTCTATTTGTCTGCAGGGAGTTCGCCTTTAAGCAGGTTAGATGTGCTGCCCTGGGTGGGAGGGTAGGAGGTTAATGTTCTCACAGTCCTTTAGCAGAATTCTTGGGTCCAACCCACTGCACCTGTGAGCAGGGGCGGACTGACCATTTGGAAACTCGGGCACTGCTTTTTTGAGTTTGGGCAAGAACACAAGGGCCCCATAATCCCCTATTGCCCGGGGGCCCCATGAGTTGTCAGTCCGCCCCTGCCTGTGAGTAAAATTGGGACAGTGGGCTGGTTTGGAGAGTGTGGGTGGCCGGTGGCCTGTACCCCGGGCCGTGGTCTGGAGTCTAGAGGATCTGCTGTGAGATAAGGTCGGCTCATATCCCTGTCCCTGGCCATCTCCCCAGAACCCCGAAGACAAAGTTACTTGTAAAAAGTGCAGGATGACGCAAATACTTTGTATATCTTAAAGTCTTGGGGTTCGCCTCGAAGAGACTTATTTCTGGAACTTGGATGTCGCAGTCACACGAACTCACCTCTGCAGGTATGCCGGGACAGCACATATCCTGGTTAGGATTAGGGACTTAGGAAAATGGACTCTTTTGATGAAGTTCTGTTGGATTTTGTAATATCCAGGGATGACGCAAATACTTTGTATATCTTAAAGTCTTGGGGTTCTCCTCGAAGAGACTTATTTCTGGAACTTGGATGTCGCAGTCACACAAACTCACCTCTGCAGGTATGCCGGGACAGCACATATCCTGGTTAGGTTTAGGGACTTAGGAAAATGGACTGTTTTGATGAAGTTCTGTTGGATTTTGTAATATCCAGGGATGACGCAAATACTTTGTATATCTTAAAGTCTTGGGGTTCTCCTCGAAGAGACTTATTTCTGGAACTTGGATGTCGCAGTCACACAAACTCACCTCTGCAGGTATGCGACAGCACATATCCTGGTTAGGTTTAGGGACTTAGGAAAATGGACTGTTTTGATGAAGTTCTGTTGGATTTTGTAATGTTGCACTTTATTTAGTAATGCATAGAAACTTTGCCTTTTGCCTGGTCTGAAGTTACTCTAAGTGGTGTAATGCAAGTAATGGGCAAAACTTTGCAGAGGCCACAGGCCACAGTTTGGGTCACTAGAACATGGAGGTATAAAGAGTCAGCACGTTAAGAGTCATTCTAGTGCACGTTACACGTGGTGTTGCCAAAAGCAACAAAGGTATATTCAGCGAGCAGCCTCTCTGTGAAATATACCTGTTATAGATGGAATTGCCTCTAGCCACGAGGGAGATTTTGTCAGCAATTCCATCTACATAAGCAACCGCAGCAGAACTTCACTGCAGAGGTCTACAAACTCAGAAGTTAAATTCAAGTGCATGTTTGGAGACCGTACTCTGTGCATGCAGAGATTCTATGCTGCTACTGGGACCGATTGTGGTTACCACTAGACAGGTAGCCATGGTCAGTGCTCGGCGCGGCCCGTCTAATTGCAGGCTAACATTGGAAAGATGTACATTTACACGGGAACCTTAGAGTAACTGAAGAACAGTTGTCATGCAAGTGTACATGGTGCACGTTCATCTCTAAGAATAGAAGCCCACTTTAAGGTAGAGTATTACCTGACGGCAACCTCAGCCTTGTCCCAGGGCATTGGTGATATGGCACTAAAGCAAAGATACCCCATGTGTGTCAAGTAGAAAGAGAGAGACACTGTACGAGGTGCCTAATATAGCCCAGAAGAACCCACCCCTCAGGTAGGCCTCTCATGTTTCCCAGACTTGGCGTCCAACGAGTGCAATGGAAAACATGGATGATGTGACAAAAACCACCACTCTACCCCTTGCTACAAGCCCTTTGTAACTTCAATGACATGACTTGGATCTTACAGGTATCTGAGGACACTTTTTTCTGCCCCATGAGACTGAGCTGAGTGCCCGATAGGCAAATCAACAAGCATCATTGCTGTAACATGAGAAAATTCTACAGATTCCTATGCTGTTTTTACAATAGGTTTGCTTCATTAATAAACATGTTGAAACCATTATTTCTGTCCTGTTGCTTAAAGCTCGCTAAATTACTTTACGAAAGGACTGTATTGGTTGCCAGGTTTGTGTTAAAGGCATTATAAACTTTCCTACCTGCACCTTGTGTTTTCACCTGCATAAGATGAGTATTGATCGTGCAGTTTCATGGTGTCATGCGTTGACCTGTTTGTACATGAGGTATGCAGCATGGCACTGCACAGGTTAATGTATGACCTCTGTCTGTAGTCTGAGAACTAACATTTCCTATGACGAAACTACATATCCCATAGTCCCTGTGTCTCTCAGTCTAGTACTCTGAAGAGTACTATACAGTAGGGACATAATGCTCATTGACGTGTGAATTAACGTACTGCAAATATGTGAACCTGTGCCTTAACTACAGCCTCACTCGCAGCTAACACTTACTTTCCATTCATTTTCTGCATCCACATTTGGCCACCAAGGCTGCAGAAAGAATTCCCTGTGTAGGTTACTATTTGCAGCTTGAAGCTTTTACATAGCTGAGAACTTGCTCCCCACCCCATTTTGCAGAATTGGGTGCCCTAATGGTTAATCACAAAGCACCGATGTCCTTAGAAAGGTGAAAGGGGGTAAAGTCAGTGGCAGAAAAGAGCTTCAGGGGAGCAACAGGAGTTTCAAATAAGTTGAATGTAGGGTTGCCATTAGGTTGAACCTGATGATTTTCACTGCTTGATTCACTTTAGGTGCTTTTGCACTTAATAAAGTGCACTGTCCCTCAACAGAAGTTTGTGTGGTTGACAAGACGTGGGCCTGTAGAAGACCTAGATGGAAGTGTATCACCCAACAAGCCTGAGAATCTTCTATCTATAGAAGATGGGATCAATGACTGGTCACAGGGAGGTCTAGAATTGCTTACTCAACTTGCCTGAATGGTTTACAATGGATCTTTATAAATGTATGATCATCATGGTTTCCTTAGCAGCATAAAATAACTGTATTTTTGGTTTTACTGACTTCTGTTATGTTCTGGCGTAGACAGCCTAAGTCCAGCTCACATCACAATGATGAACTTAACTCGGCATGAGAAACTTAAGCTTTCTGGATTGCTGATTAAAGTGTTACTAAACCCACAACAGGCAAATCAGTCTGTATATGCAGTGAAGCATGCTTGTTATACTCACTGTAGAACTTAAGGGGTTAATCCTCCACATTGTTTAAAAAGGCTGTCTGATCCTGTCTTCTCTGCTCCTCCCCTTCTTGTAATGTCCCCAATATATTTCTTGATAGTACAGAGCACTAGGGGTCACTCTGCACATGTTCAGTTTGGAATGTGTAGCTAGAGAGTTTTTTTTCTCTTGGGAGGGTGCACGTTATAAGAACAGGACCAATCAGCATTGTCCAGACAGAGGGTCAGGGATCCTGCACCCTCATAAGGGAGAATGAAAACTCCTCCCACAAGCTTTAACCACTGCTCTGCTGGACACTGATAGAAGTCACAAGACTCCTCTAACTGCTGATGAGAAAAAGGTATTTAGCAGTTTATAGTTACTAAAATAATTGTATTTCTATGCTTCATGTACTGTGGGAGACCAGATATAGTGAATGCAGGGTCCTGGGTTTAGGAACACTTTAAGTAATGATCATGTCAGAAATCTGTCTGTTCCTCTGCATTGACCGCACAGTCCTGTGTGTGATATCTCATGAGACTTCAGTGGCAATAAGGAAAATGATGTGGGCTGAAGCCACACAAAATATAGCATTTCCATCACAGATTCTTGCACAGATTATGCAGAACATTTGCAGATCAGACTGTGGCACTGACAACACATTAACTGCATTATAGGTGTACAGTATTAAATACTGTACTAGTATTAAAAAAAATTATACATACTTAAATAGAACAAGGGGAGTTTTTTTACACTTGTCTTGAGTTGTGCTCGTATAACTTGTATCCCTCGCATGTACTTTATATCGATGATATCTTCACACTCTGACTAAAATATCACACTTAGAGAGTGGACATGATTCATTCCCACAAGCAGTTACTGGTACACACCACACACATTGCCCAAGGAATCTCCTCATTTGTGTTGCATAGGTCTCTCATATGATCATACTGTGCAAAGCCTGGAAAGTATTGTGAAAATAGGTCGGATGAGTGCATGTCCTTTTGACGCGAATTGAACAATCTCAAGCAATAGATAACATTCCTATATTAGTGCAGCAGTACCTCTAATTCTAGCTACATACAGCATATTACAATTATTTGAAGTGTATGTATAGTGAAAAATACTTTCAGATAAAGTAGGAGGGATTAGAACCACTTTCAGATGTAGCACCCTCCTAGTGTAGTGTAGGATGTCAGTAAATGTAATAAGTAGAGTAGGCGTTAATTGGTTAGGGCTGCTCAGTATTTCACAGGCTGCTGCTCTGTTGCTTCCCCTGTCTTCTAGAGGATTCTAGAATTATAGTGGGAGGAAGAACAGAGTAGGCAGTCTGAATATTTATGGGGCTCCAGCCAATCCCTGAGGAGGTGTGACCAGTATGTGGTGGAGGACCCCATAAGTAGTTTGAGGCCTGAGACAGCAGTGAGCAGTGGTCCTGGGTCCAAACCTGCAGGACTTTAAAAGAAGCTTTTAGGAAGACATCAAGGTCCCATCTAGGCTTAGCTGGGGGTCCTATTTGCAAATTCAAATTCAGAGATCAAGTTGGGTATGGAGAAGCTCACTTGGAGAGATCCAGGAGGAAGTTGCTGTGAAACAGTCCAGCTGTCCTATGGTGGCATGAGTCTAGATCTCCCTCATTAGGAAGAGCCTGATGGATATCGGTAGGAGGCAACTGATAATCCTGTGGCTATGTAAATGACCCCAGCTCTGAAGAGAAGTGACCTTACGTAGCTTTTAACTCTGGAAGGAGTACAGGTCACCATCAGCATAGAGATCCTGTGGGACATTCCTTGTTTTGTACAGTGCAGCCAGAAGTGGGTAGTCCTTAAATTTTTCAGTTCTACAGTTTACCAGGGTATCATATCCCTATCTCTATCCAAGTTCATCATTCCCAATGAAAACCCAAAAAGACTTTTCTTTTGAGCCATTGAAAGAGTGCAGAAAATGCGGTTTACTTAGATGTGTCCTCTAAGGGGGAAATGGGACCAAATTCATCCGCTGCTTTTTAAGGGGTGATCTACACAGGTTTTCATTGCTGAGTAGATTTTCTGTATTTGTCTGTATTTGTCTATTTTCCTGGTGACCATTGTTAACAAGGCAGAATGTTAATAGAAATTCAAAGTTTTATAGTTGTCACCATAACAAGAGGTGAGGGTAAATCTTCTGATGTCAACTGTCTAAGATGGGAAATACCTCAAAAAGTTTGACTATACATACCCTTTACCCTTAAATTGGTTGTAAATGCTTAAGGTTTTTTACCTTCATGAATTCTATGCATGAAGGCAAAAACCTTCTGTGTGCAGCGATTTCCCCCCCCCCCCCCCCCCCAATACTTACCTAAGCTCCATTGCTGTCCAGCAATGAGCAAGAGAGCCTCAGCTCTATGGGAACTCTCCTTCCTCCCCCATTGGCTCCCACTGATGTTGATCACAGCCAGTGAACCAATGAGGAGAGAGAGGAACGGGGCTGAGGCGAGGGTCTGTGTGTGAATGGACAGCAGAGCGTACCTGCTATATTTCTCCCATAGCAACTTGCTTGCTCTGGGGGCACTCAGCAGGCAGGATGGGCAAGTAACACTGGCACGGGACACGGGAAGAGGAGGGTCGGTGCTGCTCTGTGCAGAAACATTGCACAGAGCAGGTGAGTATAACATGTCTGTTTTTTTATATTGCCTTTAACTACAGTCTAATTTTTCTGTGGTTTGCTTGAACAATGTTTCATACAAGTACATTGTAGTATTTATATTTCATACTGATTTTCCCATTTAATTTCCAGTAATTGTAAAATTCTTTAAGATCTTTCTGTGATGAGCAGGGGGTTTGTATAATCAAGTTCTTTGGAAAGTTTATTAGAGAGATTTAAATTTATCATTTCATTCTATTGAGTATGAGAAGAATTGAAGCATATTTGGGTATGTTTGATAACCTTTAATCATTTGTTAATTGAATTGAACAGTAATTTTTTTTCAGTTTCACCTGTCAAGGGAAATGGTAGGTCATGAATGCACTGGGAAGCTGATTTGTCTATAAGACTTGGAAGACACTTGTTTGGGCTAGGCCTCTGTCCATGGGCTTTGGCCTTGTGCTGATAGTATCAGTTTGACTATCAATTTGAGACTCTTCTGAAATCATAAGTAATTCATTGACAGGTGCATTTGATTTGCAGTTAATCTGTTTCGATCAATACCATCTGATTTAAATGAAAGCACAACACAGGCCATAGCAAGTTGTGGAGCTGATCATAATTTCTTTTGAAAATTAAAATGAAAGTGCTTCAGTTTTTTTCTGTTCTTATTTAATACATTTCCATGCTTTAACTGTTCAAATGAAATAGGTATAAGGTAGCAGGCCACACTCAAAATGCAGTTTTTTGCTCCTGAGTAAACTATTGTAGGATTAAACATTGCTTTGTAGATAAAGGAAGCTGGGCTTCTGCCTAGGCAATTTCTAATCTTCAGAAGGTCAGAATCTGCATAGGAGCCTTGAGAGGGTCTAACAATTTATATGGGAGATGGGTTGTCGTGCTGAAGGTATGGCATGGCACCTTATGTTACTTAAATTAGAAGTATGGCCTCCCATTAAAAAATATTTTCAGTAGAACCTAATTATATGTGCATGTCATTTACAGCTTTCTCTTAGTCTCCATGCAAAATTTCTGGTTGAGCCTGCTAGTGAAGTCCACCTACTGCAGCCTCCTTTGATGGTGTGGAAACAATGCTGTATTGATTTTTATACTAATAAGGTTACTTTGGTCCAGCTTCTCTGCCCCCTCTCCCTACACAACCTTTTATACAGCAGCTGGGGAGCAGTGAAGGTGAATAGTATAGAGTGTCAATTGAGAGACAGCTCTCAGTATACTAGGTCTGTTGACTTCACCTTCAAGATGGTGGCGCCCAGCAGCAGTCTAAGGGCTTTTAGATGTCTAGGCAAGAGAGGCTTTTACAGGTAAATAGCATGTCTAATATTTGTTAACTACATGCCGCCCAGCCACTGTACATATACGGCGGCAGGGCGGCACTCGCAGGCAAAACCACGTTTTAAAACGTGTGTTTTGTAAACAAATAGGGGGCGCGCGCGAGGCGCGCCGCCGCCCTATTTGTCCTGTGGATCACTGCCGCAGATGTCAGTCGCCGGGTCACAGCCGCTCCTTAACGGCTATGTCCCGGCGATCGGCGGCAAACAGTGACAGACAGCACAGCTGCAGTAGCTGTGCGGTCTGTCACTTCCCTGTCAGCTCGAGGATGAGCTGATCGAGAAAGAACAGTTTCTCTTTCTTGATCAGCCTTGTCCCGCCCAATACACACCATCGCCCCCTAGTAAAACACTCCCCTCACTCCTATAACCCTTCCCTGCAAAATAAAGTTAACCCCTTCCTCCCCATTGCCATTAGTACAGTATTTTTGCACTGATCACTGTATTAGTGTTTTTGGGGATGTCAGTGACCCCAAGTCAGTACCCCCCAATGTCAGAATGTCTGCCGCAGTCCCGCCATAAGTCGCTGGTTGCTGCCATAAGTCCCTGATCGCCGCCATAATTCGCTGATCGCCGCCATTATTAGTATAAAAAAACCCCTAAAAATCCCAGTATCTTTCCCGCCATTTGTAAACGCTGTAACTTTCACGTAAACCAATTAATTTACACGTATTGGGTTTTTTTTTTTAGCAAAGACATGTTGCAGAATACATTTTGGCAGAAATTTATGACTAAATTTGATTTTTGCATTTTTTTTTTTTTTTACTGGACATGTTTTATAGCAAAAAGTCCAAATATTTTTTTTCCTCAAAATTGTCAGCCTTTTTTTTTTTTATAGCGCAAAAAAATAAAAACCGCACAGGCAATCAAATACCACCGAAAGAAAGCTCAATTTGTGGGGAAAAAAAGGATGTAAATTTCATTTATGTACCATATTGCATGACCGCGCAATTGTCTGTTAAACTAGCGCAGCGCTGTATAGCAGAAAAATGGTGTAAATTGCAGTATCTATACCATAGTTTGTAGACGCTATAACTTCCACACAAAGCAATCAATATACACTTATTGGGATTTTTTTTTACCAAAAACATGGAGCAGAATACATTTTGGCCTAAATTTATAAACCAACTTTGAGTTTATTATATATTTTTTTATAGCTGAAAATAAAAAATATTGTTTTTCTTCAAAATTTTTGGCCGTTTTTTGTTTATAGCATGAAAAATAAAAAGTGCAGAGGTGATCAAATTACACCAAAAGAAAGCTCTATTTATGTGAAAAAAAAGGACGTAAATTTTGTTTGGGTGGTGCAGCATTGCATGACTGCGCAATTATCAGTTGAATTAGTGCAGCGCCGAGTAGCAAAAAGAGGCCTGGTCATTAAGGGGGGTAAATCCTCTGGAGCTCAAGTGGTTAAATATACATATATTTTATTGGAAGATTGTTGTTGATGTACTAGTAACCCCTGGATGAGCCACTTTGTATAATGGGTTCT